GTAATCCATGATTGAATGTTTTGTAATACATGATCGAAATGTTTGTTTTTTTTTGTAATCCATGATCGAAATGTTTGTTTTTTTTTTGTAATCCATGATTGAATTTTTTGTTTTTTGCTTTTTTTGTAACCCATGATAGAGTTTTTTGTAATCCATGATTGAAGTTTTTGTAATCCATGATCGAACTGTTTTTTTCTTTTTTTGTAATCCACGGTTGAATTTTTTGTTTTTTTTTTTTGTTTTTTTTTGTAATCCATGATCGAATTTTATGTAATCCATGATCGAATTTTATGTAATCCATGATCGAATTTTATGTAATCCATGATTGAATTTTTGAAAATTTGTGATTTTTTTTTTTTAATCCATGATTGAATTTTTTTTTGTAATCCATGATAGAATTTTTTGAAAATTTGTGATTTTTTTTTTAATCCATGATCGATTTTTTTGAAAATTTGTTTTTTTTTTTTTAATTCCATATTTTTCAAAGAGAAAATGAGAGAGATGATGATTCTGAGGCCACCCTATCCCAGCCATATTATTCACATATCGAGTCCCAACAACAACAGTGTAGGGATGAGCACGAAATACTGTAAATTAAATGCTGAATGGCGGTTCATGCAGGGAAAGAACATATCAATATTCGCATATTCATTCAAAAACATGAAAATTCTTAATGGAGTACCCTCATTTTTTATTGAATTCCTAAAAAAAAATATTTATAATGAATTTTAATAATTTTTTCGAATTTTTTTTAAGCTTTATTCTGACCGATTCACCCGATTTCCGATCCTGATCGCCGATTCGTCGATCCAGATCGATTTTTTGGAAGCCCGATCCGGGTCACCGATCCATTTTTTAAACCATTGAGTAAAACCATAATAGTTGAAGCTGCTCTTGCTTTCATGAAAATCGGCTTATCAAGAATTGTGGGATTTTGGTGGAAGTTAATCAATATTTTTGTATTTCGCTCCAAATTTTTTGTTTTTTTACTTTGTTGGTTGTACAATGTGCTTTCATTAGCACAATTTTTTATGAAGAGTGCTACCTCAAACATCTTTTTTTTTTTTTTTTTGTGCATGTTACCTTTTTCCTAGAGGTACCATTTTTTGTATAGAGTACTGCCTTGTCTTTTACTGGATCATGAGCTAGTTACTTCTTTTTGCAGCCCATAAATGTTTCTTTTTACTTCATTTATTTGCAACTTTGATGGCAATCATTTTATATGATTTATATGATTCATGTAATGAATTGATTACACTTGAGAACATGAAGTCCATGAAGCCACACTATGGTGTTGAAATTATTTCCTCTACCAATTAATTACACTTGTTTTACATAGGTTTATCATGAAGTGTCTTTTAATAAACATTTTATATAGACTACCTCAAAGATCCCATGAACGTTTCATATAGACGAAGAGAGGCCGCTCCATATTCAGTAACAATATCATTGGATTGATTACATTTCCCCTGCTTTTACTCATCTTATATGCCCTTGCACTTAAACGGATGTTGGGCTCCTCTTTAAGCAGATAAGAGTCACCGGATTTTAAGCACCTATTGCAAAAAAAAATAAGGGAAAATTTAGTACATAACCTTAAGTCGTTCATCTTTTCAATTTTTTTTCAAATGGCATAAAAAAATGTCTAAAGATTTTACTGTACCTCGCATCTTTTATTTATTTACTTTTGAACACAAAAATTAACCTCAACAAACTTTTTTATACAACAAAAAAACGTTCTAAAAAATGTTTCAAAAACTCTTTTTAACCCAACAACTTTTTTAACCCACCCCATTATATCTCCCTCCCCATTATATCTTTTAACCCAAAAACGTTTCAAAAATATTTTTTTTTATATCTTTTACCTTTTTTGCCCCTAAAATTGCATACATGTCAAAAAAAGTAATTGGCACTTTACTTTACAAAGAGTTCAAAGAGAAGTTGCAAAAAAATATAATAAAAATATATTTTTGAAACGTTTTTGGGTTAAAGGATACAATGGGATGAGAGATATAAAAGGGTGGGTTAAAAAGGTTTTTGAAACGTTTTTCAAATCTTTTTTAGTTGAAATGATATAAAAAAATTTGTTGGGGCTATTTTTTATAAAAAAAATGAGTAAATGAGGGAGATAAGAGACGAGGGGATACAATGAAGTACTTATAGATTTTTTTATGCTGCTTAAAAGAAAAATAGGAAGAGAGTCTACCACGAAATAAGATAGAAAATTAGAGTTCTGTACGAAATTTTTCAAAAAAATAATTGCCAGAAATAGTTTGGCGTACTTTCTCCTCTGGAATTCTTTCATGGTGGTACTTAACCGTATCCTTAATATTATCAGCAGATATTAATCTTCCTTTCTGGTCTCTATTTGCGGTATATTCAACTTGTCACTTGAACCATCAGAAACATAAGTGGTAATTTAACAAAAGTGGGCACAAACAGACAACTCAATGCTTACTTCTCCAAATACCATCCCCTGATTAATAATACACTGGAAAGGCTCTTTTGTTGAAACAACACCCATATCATAGAAGACCTGGTAAAGAATGAAATGTTGCTTTGTAAACCTTAAAGGTTAAAGTAAAGGGAAGTGAAGGCATTACCAAAGAGATAAATAGAGGAAAATAACCACAAATTCCCTTGATTCTAAGGCCTTCGAAGATTGCTCAAGAAGAAGAGCTTTATGAAATAAGTACCATCACAGTTCACATTATTATGAGAATTAGGGTTAGGGTTAGGGTTAGGGTTCTAGTTTTGGGACAGAATAGAATTAAGGTCAAAAGGGCAACTGAGAAGAGAGAGAGACGACTGAGCTTTAACGGAGGGAGAGATACCGTCTCAAGGTTTAAAAGTGAACAAAATGACCAAATGGTCCCTGAGGTTTTAAGTTAATTACCAAAAGAGGTTGGAAGGAAATAATCAAATGACCAAATTGTCCCCGACAAGGAGAGAGTGGCGCACTGTGTTTTGGGTGAGCCGGGTGTGCTGCGATTAGGGCACAAATTTCACGTGGGCCCATCCTATGCATGTCAATCACAACCATTGGTCATTGGGTTCAATGGCGAAGATGTTATTGGATTCGACGTGTGGTTTAGTTCAATCACAAACCCCGTTGAATAAGTTGGATTATATTTCAAAAAAAAACAATTGATGGTTTCAAAATATAAAATATATTATAAATAAGTTTCTCAACTTAGTATAGCTAGTAAAAATAAAGGGTACGAGTCATATTTGAGACTTTTCAATCAATCAAGTCAAGTCTTTACTTTAAACAGGATCAGCCAAAGGACCAACCAAGCCGGTGTATTCGATCCGATCATAATAGCTATGATTCGACCTGCGTACACCCATACATTAGAAAGTGACAAAAGAAATTGCTGGTCGCACCCATCCTTATGCTAATCAAACCCCAAATATGGGTGGAATTATAGACAGAGGACTAAAAATTGAGTGGGCCATTCAGCGGTAATGTTGTTGTGAACCACGTTCATGGGTGCAACTAGCAAAAGGACAGGTGACAATATCGGTTTTGTTGAATGGAGCAATATTGTTACTTTCAAACATATTCGTTCACTGCTTTTGTATGACCTGCATAACCATACAGAAGGTGTGGATATCACTTCCAAATGGAATTAACCTGTTTTCAACATTTTTAACGGAATTGGAAATCACATTCTTCCTGTAATGTTTGATGCATAAAAGCATTTTCTAATTTTCCAAACAAAAGTTGAATGATTGAAAAAATCTATAAATAATTGATATGATGGGAGATTAAGGGAGACTAATTTCAATAGTTTTCCTGCAACAAAAGTTGGTTCCACTCACAATTACGGTAATTCCAAAAACAAATATCACACCATTAAGAAACCCACCATTTTATTCAAAATTAAAAGTCGCATAAGACTGCAATGCTCTAAGCCTTTAAATACGCACAGTTGAAACACCTAAGAAAAAAAAAATAGAGAAGACAAATGAGGAAAAAAAATAGGTACAGCAAGTTGTTACATGGCATAGTAATCCATCAAAAAAAGGCATTTTCACACACCTCAAAAGGCTATATGGCCATGCAACTCAATTATTTAGTTCAGCAAAAGCCGGCCAAAAAAAAAATCCATATCATCAACATCGACACTAGTCAAGCACAGCATCTCTCCTACCCAATAAGCAACTTGTTCTCATCCAAGAAGTTATAGGTCGGGACCTCGAGATTATAAGGTGCCGGGCCCTTCCGAATCCTTCCAGAAATATCATAATGGGACCCATGGCAAGGGCAAAACCAACCCCCGTAATCACCAGCATTAGGCAAAGGGATGCACCCTAAGTGGGTGCACACACCGACCACCACAAGCCATTCAGGGTTCTTGACCCTCTCTTCATCCGGTTGTGGATCTCTCAATTGTCCCAAATCAACGCTCGTCGCTAACTTGATGTCCTCTTCAGTTCTACGGCGAATAAAAACAGGCTTGCCCCTCCACTTGACTGTAACAGTGGATCCCGGCTCGATGCCTGAGAGGTCAACCTCAAGAGAGGCGAGGGCAAGAACATCCTTACTTGCGGACATGCTTAGGATGAATTTGAGGACCAAGAGGCGAATGAAAGAGGCATAAATGAAGCGACCACCAGCGAGGACGAAGTAGGCAAATGCCCGTTTGCTAGGATCGCCTGGTGGGAAGCGTTCGTGGTTATGCTCATTATAAGTGATCTTCGACGTCGGGTTCTTGATGGCAGCAACAGTGGCAGGGAGGTCAGGGAGGCTGAGGTCCTGCCGGGGTGCGAGTGTCTCCGAGGCAAAACCTATCGTAACTCAGAACAGGGTTGGTTAGGAATGGTGAATGGTCTCTCTGCACCTCTCCCTCACACACATGCACACACATGAGTGAAGAAAAGAAAAGGAAAAGATCAACATTGATTAAATTAGACTGGCTGGAATTTGAGGGGGAAAAAGGAATAAAGAAAATTGTTTGGCCCCTTCACTTGATCGTTTGGATGTAACAAAAGAAACAAATATGGCGAGAGTATGGATTTCAGGTCACACACCAAAAGCAAATAATGATGGTTTATTTTCTGTTTTTACAGAGTGTCGCACTTTTCAGAATAACATGGGTTCACGTGAATTTTGAGAGGAAAAATATTTATATAAGGTGTCAACATTATACGATAGAAGTAAGATGCAACTCAAAAACCCCATAAAAAAGTTCGTTCTGACCTTGGAAACACTCCAAAGATCAACTTGACCTTGAGATATATAGATATGGAAAAGACATAGATTTCAAGTCTTGTAAATAGGGCATCTTGTAACACATTATGAAGACCATCCTGATTTTCAAATATTATAGACCTGGTCATTCTATGCTTTAAATTCTATACTCGGGGAAAAATATTTCTGGACGATCATATAGATTTTTGGCACCAAAACTGCATTCTCAGCGAGGTTTGCAGGTCCGCCTTACTTGGATCCTTTAAGGTTGAAGCTTCACACAAACCACACCCTTTTGAGAGAGAGAGAGAGTGTGTGTGTGTGTGAGAGAGAGAGAGAGAGAGAAAGAGAGATTATGCAAACAAATTAAAAAGAGAAGCTTCTATACCCCAATCAGATTCCGATGTGTAACTTACCATATCTCAGAAAACAAAAACTGCCAATGTGTAGATCAATTTTTTGCTTTGATAGTAAATAATGAGCAAATTAATTACTAATGTTTCATAACCAGTACAGATGCAGAAAGCAAGAATAGAATATTCCCACAAAAATTCTATGACAAGAATCTGTATAGGAGATTATAGCCACATTTGGTTGAAGAGAGATGACAAGCAGGTGCAGCAAATGAAATGTAGGGAAATGAAATACAATAAAACTACATGAAATTTCACATAGACGTTAGACAACATCAACTAATTTGAAATAAACTCTTTTTTTTTTTAAAGAATGAAAAATTGGGGAGTAAATGAAATGACATGGGAGGAGAAAAAAATATTTTCCTGCGAAATTTACAGTGAAAGCATGATCAAATGGAAACAATCGGGCCTGGGGCGAGCAAGGGATGGCCCAAGGCCCTAACCAAGTAAGGCCCCTGGCTCTAGCCTGGCCCTATTGGTCTATGCATAGAAATGGCCCGACCAGAACCTATTGCCCACTATTTCACTTCTTTCCCTAATATATACTGTAATATAGATTATAGATTTCTCATCTTGTTCCCACAATGAAATATATCTCTTGATAATTTGGATAACCTTCAATTGATTTTTCCTATATATCAAATGGCTCTTCTTTCTCTCCAGTCCAATATGTTAACGTACTTCATATATCCTCTCCCATAAATTGATTTTGTTTCCAACATAATCCATCCATCCATATCTTTTAAAGGGAATTAAAGACATCTTCAAGGCACAATTCAGTAGGCAGATATAGTTCACTTTATTCAGTATATTAACAACTCCCTCTCTTCCTCTCTTGTTCTTTATCAAATTGGAAGAGATGAATCCAACAAGTATAAGGCTACACGATAGATTAAAAAGATAGAGAGAGATCATAGGGAAGCCCTATTACTATTGTAGGATTCTATTATGCTCCTTAAAATATGATACAGCCCTATTTTACTTTTTCTTGGATTGAAAAAGTAAGAATGGCATGAAATAAAAAGCAGGATCACTAAGATCCTCTTAAAAGATTAATTATTATTTTATGTATTAGATAAAGTCTTAGACTAATGGTTCATCTACATTTAATCATGGATGTATAGTGATGATTTAATTATTTTTAAGTTTGCCATTACTATAACTTCTCCAGTTTTGGAGGTCATGTTCACTAAATCATGTGTGTGTATGAGAAAGAGAGAGAGGCCATGCCTACAGGGCCCCCCAGGAATTGGTGGGCACCCGGGCCTGGATTCAACCCCAGGCCTACCCGAGGACCAAAAATATAAGCTGGACCCAGGTTTATCTAGGGCCAGACTGACAGGCACATTGCCAACCCTGATCAAAACTAATCCATGAATGTGGCAAAGGATTGCAATATCTCCAAAATGTGTTTTGTTCCTATATAGGAAAATTGTTTCATGCAGGGCTGGACCGCAAGTCTACAATAAGGTATAAAGCATCCATCTTAAAGATGGATGCACATAGGTGGTCCATCTAAAAACAATTGAAACTAACTGTCCAAATGTTTCCTTAATAGAATTAGATTATAAGACCCTGCCACACCCATGTGTGTAGGTCCCCAAAGGATCACCATTAAATTTGGTACAGATATCTAAAAAAGTCAAGTCCCACACCCATGTGATAACTTTTCTAGATATCTGTGCCAATTTTAATGGTGATCCTTTGGGGTCCTACACACATGGGTGTGGGAGGGTCCCATAGGATCATTACTCATAGAATTATTATTTCTAATTTCTAAAATTTATTTATTTTTTATATTCATGATCTCCATGTTAGAGATTACACATCCTTAAAAAGTAAGTCCAAAAATCCATCTCAAAAATAGATTTTTAAGAGGTGACTCATTTCTACATGGACTCATAGAAATTGTGTTCTTCTACATATGATCCAATATATATTTCCAAAAATCACTTTTCCTTGAAACTATAACAATGGTGACAGTGTCTATCAAATAAAAAGAAAACTGCATAACAATGCATTCAAGACTTAATGTGAATTATTTAAAGGTCATTTCAAACTAAATAAGCTAATGAACAACATTGAAAAAGAAGGTAGTAATGATTATGTACACAAACCCTTATTTCTTATTACTCATTCAACATAAACATAAACAATCGCATTCATTCATGTCAACCATGCTGTGGAACAGATACTATTGCACAGGGCGAGATATAACATTGCAGAGTTCCAGAAAATAGTACCCAGGTGTCCATGCAAACATGAGAAATTATCTTCTCTTCCTGCAAATACCTAGAAAATGAAATAACCCTGCCTTCCCTCTGCCTCTCCCTCCCTTTTCTGCCCCCCCCAAGGGAGGAAAGTGACTGAATCATGTCCCCTTATGAGCAACAAAACAAAAATGCAATGCAAAACTAACATTTATATCTCAAGCAATAGCTATATTATTTCAGTATAATAAGTTGACATATGGCATATTCATACACCATTTAAGGATCCAAAAATGAAAGGTTCAATTCTTCTAACCCCAATTGTTTGAGTATAATAAGTTGGTGGAAGATGAAGTTGTAAAAGATAATAAGACTTGAGGGTGATGACATCAAAGGAGAGGCAAACTTATTGACAACCAGGTTTGGATATTGATATATGCAAGCATGTACAATTGAAGAGGCTATTAACAAAATGGTCACACTAATGCGTATTTCATTCACTGCCATGGGGAATAGGGCATGTGTAGGACTTGGGCCAAAAAACAAAAATCTAAACATCACTTAGTGGAAAAGGAAAGGCTTGAGCAATGACAATCAGAAGGTGGGCTTGAACATAATTCCAAATCGAGTTCCATATCCCCACTTTGCAAATTCAGATGGATTGAGAAATGGTTCCACAATGCCAGACCTTTTTTGTACAGGAGCACCCTTCCAGGGACATCTAATTCTTTTTTGAGGCATGTGGCCTAGTATGAGGGCCACCTCTGCCAATCTATTGTACTTATTCTCTCTCTGTCAATACAACAGTTAACAGTTTCAAAAAAAAGACAAAAGAAATTGTTCTTTTGTTGTGCAAACTCAGATGGATTGAGAAACTGTTCTGTTGTTGTGTGCTTGACAACACACACTTGCAAAGAAACAAGCAACTGCTGAATGAATAGTTATAAACAAGTCAAAATAGCATACCATCAGTTGCCGTCCCTTGTAATGAGCTATCTTTGGCTTTGGAGTTTTGTTGTCTTTCATTTTTCTTCATTTTTCTTCTTTCTTCTCTTCTTTCTTTTCTTCAATCTTAATTCTTTTTTCAGTTCTTGGCTTCTTTCTTTTCTGACCTTCAATAACATGGGCTCTGGCGACCATATGGAACTTGTGTGCTTTCATATCTCTGAGTTTGGTTTCCTCTTCAATTCTCAAATGAGCCATTAGTTGTTCCAAGCTCAAACCCTCTCATTTATGCACCAATGTACCTCCATAGCCTTTCCAAAGCGGGCGGAATTTATCTTATTATCATGCCCACATGGATGATGCCATTTGACACAAGTTAATTTGCTATAATTTGAAAATCATGGACTTGAGCTAGCACCAATCTTTCCTCTATAATCTTAAAATTCAACTATCTAACAATTAGATACTTCTTTCTCCCAACACCTTCCACTTTAGATTTTGTCTCTAGAGCTTCCCACGGTTCCTTTGCAGCTGGCATTCCTAAGTAGAGATCAAACAGAGGATAACTCAAAAGCATTCAAGTCTCACGATATGCCCTTGACATTGTACTCATCTTCTTCCCACTACTGTCTTTCTTCTGACAATTGGAAGACTGGATTCCTCTTGGTTGGGTCAGTTGATGGTTCATGACTCTGATTATCGCCAGTCTAAGCAAATGACTGACCAAAAGAGGCAATATATGTCCTAGCAAAACGACATGGTTTCTTCAGTATATAGTCGACCCTCAAAGTCCTCAACAAGAAATGGACCTTGGACTGCCACCTTCTAAAATTTACACCATCAAAATGTTCCCGCTTACAAAATCCTCGATCATAGCCTTCATCGAGTTTCCAGTAGCGATCTTGTGTATGGTTAAACACAGACCTATCCTCTCAATGAGTTCATTTGTCTAGATGATGTAAAGCATAAACCTGAGTGTCGAACAGCAGGATGTTCTCCATGGATTCACCTATATGAGTGTCGAAG